CCTGAGGTTCCCTCGTAAAAAAACGATTCGCGGGGACATCTTTTGTTCTAGCGTAACATTTTTTCACGAATCCCTGAATGGGACGAAGTGCGCACGCGCGCGTCGTCGCGCGCGTATGCCGAAATCCCTCAAAACCCATCGGTTTCGGAAGGATTTCAACATCGTGTGTCCTAACAACCTACAAAAACACAAGTTTTCGCAACACGGATTTTCAACAAAAGCGTGCGCGCGCGCTCTTGCGTCGTCGTCGTCGTCGTCGCCGTCCTCCCTCCTCCCGCGTCGTCGTCGTCGTCGTCGTGGTCGTCGTCGCCTACGTCGTCCTCTGTCTTTCCTCGTGTTCGTCGTCGTCGTCCTCTTTGGCGTCGTGGTCGTTTCCGTCGTCGTTGTCGTCGTGGTCGTCCTTCCTCCTCCTTCCTCGTCGTCGTCGTCGTCCGTGGTCGGCGTCTCGTCGTCGTCCCTCCTATTTCGTCACCGTCGTCGTCGTCGTCGTCGTCGTTGTCGTCGTGGTCGTCTTCCCTCCTCCCTCGTCGTTGTCGTCGTCGGCGTCGCCGTCCTTCCTCCTTCTTCGTCGTTCGCGTCGTCGCCGTCCTCCCTCCTCCCTCGTCGTTGTCGCGTTCTACCGTCGTTTGTCTCCGCGTCGTTCCTCCCTCCTCCCTCGTCGTCCGTCTTCGTTGGCGACACGTCGTCGTCGTCGTCCGTCGTCATTGGCGTCGGCGTCGTCGTCGTCTTCGTCGTCGTCGACGTCGGCGTCGTCGCCGCCGTCGCCGTCGTCGTCGTCGTCGTCGTCGTCGTCGGCGTCGGCGTCGGCGTCGGCGTCGTTGACGTCGTCGTCGTCGTCGGTGTCGTCGTTGTCGTCGTCGTCAGCGTCGTCATCGTCGTCGTCGTTGTCATCGTCGTCGTCGTCGTCGTCGGCGTCGGCGTCGTCGTCGTCGTCGTCGTCATCGTCGTCGTCGTCGTCGTTGTCGGCGTCGTCGAAGTCGTGGGAGACGTCGTCGGTGTCGTCGTAGTCGTTGTCGGCGGCGTCGTCGTCGTCGTCGTTGTCGCTGTCGTCGTCGGCGTCGCTGTCGTTGCCAAGTGCCATTTGGTACCCACCGTCACGGTCTCAAGAGATTTGGCAATCCAAGTTGCGGGTGGGTGGGTGGGATGTTTGCGCGAGCAGTGGAGTGAACAACTCACTGCAAACAGAACTTATCTGCACCGCGTAGGTTGTATACCAGAGGCGGCACTATATAAACATATATTGCTTCACATTTATTTCACTGCCTAGAGTCTCTTCTCTTAAACGAGAATATAGTCTACCCCCCAACTCATCGGTTCCCCCTTTCGTATTGCAATTTGCAGGTGGGTTTGTCCCGTCGTCCATCCTACAGATGAACTCATACCATCCCAGCCTTGCAGGTACCCCCGCCTCGCCATCCCATGCGCAAACTATTATGCGCGCGCGTTCGTTCATCGAGAACCATTGGCGAAATCCACGCGCGCGCGCCGTCGCGTGCACATGCCGAATTCCTCCAACATCTTTCGGTTTCGGTAGGGATTTAGAAATTGAGTGCCCTAAAACTTGTAAAAAGCATTGTTTCGCAGCACGGCTGTTCAGACAAACAAGGTTTCGCGCTCGCTCATGCGAATTGTTAAGAAAACCGCGCGTGTATCATTTTCACAAAATCCTGCCAAACGGGTTTCGCGCGCATGTCGCAATCGTTGAAACAGCTTTGCGCGCGTACCGTCGCGAGAATTCTTGTGCCAAACCGTGTCTAGAAGTGCACGCGCGCGCGTTGTCGCGCGCGCGTGCCGAAATCCTTCAACAACCTTGAGATTCGTAGCGATTTCAAAACCGAGAGTTCAACAACATATGAAATCAAATGGTTCCGCAACATCCGTTTTCCGAGAAGCCTGCGCTCGCGCATCTGAAGAAAACCATCGGGACTCCAACCGTTTCGTGGAATTTTGCCAGGCGGGCCTGTCGCGCCGCATGCCGAAATCATTCGCACGCCCTTGCGCGTGTGCTGGAGGGGGCACGAATGGTGTCAAATAATTCCATGCGGGCCACTCTGTCCAAAACCGCCATCACCGACGCGAGGACGCCGTCATCGTCGTCGGCGTGATCAGCATCGGTGCCCGCACTGGTCGCGCAGTCGTCGTTGTCAGCACGATCTCCCGAAATTGGGCCTTCCTGATTGAGGCTGCGTAATTGAGTGCGCAACTGCGCGGCAGCAGAAGGAGTCAGGAATGCAATATTGGATGGGCGGCGAACGCCGAGACGAGCCACAACACAGGATGGGAACGGATGAGCAGAAAACTCAGTGAGCAAAGATGGGAGGAGTTCGAGAAAGACTGGGCATGACCAGACGTGTTGCACGGATTCCTCTCCTTGTGTGCATAGCATACATGGCTCGACCTGCTGAAAACGCCGTCCTGCGGTCAAGGCGCCCGGTAGGATCCGAAGAGCATTAAACGCCGCGACCTTCGGCATGCCTTCTAATGTGGCTTGGATCTCGGGCCAGGGCAAATCGAGGCCTTCGCTGGGCTCCATCGGGAGCCAGCTGGCAAAGCGCCGTGACGATGTGGTCCGAACCAGCATCGCTACTATCATCATCGTGCCTGCCGTTGTCGACGTTTCCGGCAGACACCAGCCCGTACTGGATGGGTATGGCGGCCGTTCGGCCCTCCTCCGTGCTCGGTGCGCCTCGCTGCCTCTTGTTCCTCTTCCTCTTCCCCCTCCCCCTCCTCCTCCTCCTCCTCCCCTCCTCCTCCTCCTCCTCCCCTCTCCTCCTCCCCTCCTCCTCCTCCTCCTGCCCTCCTCCTCCTCCTCGGCGGCTTGGGCGGGCGTCATGTCGCCCGCCCAAGCCGCCGACTCGCATTGAAGTGCCCACCGCGGCCGCGTCGGTCGCGCCAGAACTAGTTGGCCGCTGCGCGCGCGGGCCGCGGGGTGGCGCGGCCGCAGAGATGCACCAGCCAACGCCAAGCACTCTTCGCAACTGCCAGCGCGTGGGTCTTGCAAACCAAGTTGCGCGTGGGTGGGTGGGATGTTTGCCAGAGCATGGAATGGGTCATCTCTGTCACAAGAAGCAATTGCACCACGTAGTTGCGCCACATAGATTGCACTGTACCGCGTAGACTGCGCCACGTAGATTGCACCACGTAGATCGCACCACATAGTTTGCATCACAAGTAGCGCTGCCTATATTGCACCACGCATAGTGCTCCGCGTAAATGGCTCCACTTAGATCGCGCCACACAGATTGGGCCGCCGTCCACGCTGGCAAGCATCGTTCGTTGATTTTTTGCCACTCGTAAGGTGGACCTCCTAATGCCCGCTTTGGGCCTCAAGGGCCAGAAGTGGTCCGGAGTGCGGGCATGGCCCGGGGGACGGGGTCCAGACCTCTACTTGGAGGGCGCGTAAATCGGGGGCGATAGATTGGGGGGGCAGCGAGGGCTACCGAAAAAGGGCCCTTTGGGGCCCCGAGAAGGGGCCTCCCGTTTCCGGGCCCTAAAAGGACGCTTTTCTCCCCCCCCACCGATCGCCCCCATGGATTCGCGCCCAGGGGGGACGGGGCCAGACCTCCAGGCGCGTCCGCATCCCTCGGCAGCTGGTGAGGGGTGATCTGGCCTGTGCCAGAGTGGCCCTGTGGTGCGGGCCCCGGGGCCCCCGCCCCACATCGGCGGCTTCAGCAGGGGCGGCCAGGGACATGATGTGTGTGTGTGTGTGTGTGTGTGTGTGTGTGTATCAAAGGGGCTCCGCTCGCCAGTGCTTGTGGCGGGCCTTCCCAGCGAACGTGCGTGATTCTAGGCGCTTCGCGTAGCCTCACCAGCTTGCGCTCCTCTGAGCGGCAGTGAGACTCGCCTCCTGTTTGTCTTTCCTGCTCGTTCTTGTTCTTTTCTTTTCGCTCTCCTCTTCCTTCGCGCTATTTGAGGCCGCTGCTTGCTTGCAATTCCCGGGACGCCGCCCGACCTTTCTTCGCCGCGGTCGCGATCAAACAAAAAACTTCACCAGCCCATCCAGACACGACGCCCCGACGAGTTGCCCTGATCGGGGATGTGGAGGAGCGTGCAGTGCAATGGAGGGTCGGGCAGGACGTCGTACCCAAAGAAGGGTGAGGATGGATGAGGAATCTGAAAAAGAGGAGCAGGGCGAGGGGGAGGGGGAGGAGGGAGGAAGAAAAATGGGCGGATGAGGAAGAGAAGGAGGAGGATGGCGGCGAGCAGAAAGGCCAGAGGCTTTTTTTGGATGCCTCTCGGAGTCTCTTCGGATGTCTCTTGAGAACTTCTTAGAGTCTTCTTGGGGCGTCTTGGGGGTCTCTTGGCGGCCTCGGGGGCCTCTTGGAGCGTCCTGGATGCCCCAGGAGGAGCCTCTCAGGGCCTCCTGCGGGTCTCTCGGGACCCTCCTGGGGGCCTCTTGGGGGCTTCCTGGGCACTTTTTGGGACCCTCTTGGGGTCTTCCATCTTGGGGCCATCTTGCAGGATACCGATCAAAGAGGGGGGATATGTAAATTCGGTAAATTCGAGCCCCCCCCAAGAAGGCTAAACTGGGCTCCAAACCTGCGTAAAACACTGATTTCGGCCTTCTGGCCGAGGCCATCTTGGACGCTCCAATGGGTCGGGACCCCCCCCGTCCAGGGCCAGGAGGAGGGTGGAGAAGAAGGGGGGGTGGAAGAGGAAGCGTTCTAAACCACTCACGCCCTACAGGGCTGATGTGATTCCCATGGCGATCCTTGTGCCTCCGCCGACCGAAAACTGTCTTGCGCGACTTGCTTTCCCAGGCCGCCGAAATGGGGCAGGAGTAGGTGGGGTAGGAGGATCGTGCCGCATCGGCGACGCGGCGCGATTCTGCGACCCCATCAGCCAGCCTCATTCTGGCGGCCTCCAGTGTCGTCGGAGAGGACGTTCCTGTGGGCACTGGCGCGGTAGCAACACCATCCTACTCCAGCGATCGTTACAGCGGCGTCGCGTTGGGTGCGCGCGCGCACGATCGCACCCAGCACCTCGAGCGTGTGCCCGAGGATGATCGAGAAGTACCAAAAGGAGGCGAAGGACAAGAATCGTGATAGCTGGTTCCTGGCCTACATCATGGACACAAACGAGGAGGAGAAGGCGAAGGGCAAAACAGTCGAGGTTCGCCTTCTCGCCTTGTTGATGCCGCCCTTTGCCCCCCCCACTCTCTCTCCCCATTTCTCCCTCCTGTTTCTGTAATGCCGTGCTATACTTCCTTCTATCCCCGCTCGCTGTCCCTTTTCCAGGTTGATCCTCTCCCATTCACCCCCGCCTCTCTTCACCTTATTCCTCCACCTTCTTCCATCCCTCCCGCCCTCCTTCCCTTCCTACTCCCCTCTCTCTCTGTCTCTGCCTCTGTCTCTGCCTCTGTCGCCGTCCCTGTCCCTGTCCCTGTCCCTGTCTCTGTCCCTGTCCCTGTCTCTGTCTCTGTGTCTGTCTCTGTCTCTGTCTCTGTCTGTCTCCCTCCCCTCCCCCCTCCCCCTCCTCCTCCTCCTCCTCCTCCTCGCTCCGCCTCCTCCTCCCTCCTCCGTCTCTGTCCTTCTCCTCTCTCTCTCTGTCTCCCTCCCCTCCCCCCCTCCCCCTCCTTCCTCCCTCCTCCTCCTCCTCCTCCTCCTCCTCCTCCTCCTCCTTTCTTGGGTACGTATGGTGTTGCCGCTCGAGTGCCAGCAACATCCGTGATCGGGAATGGTGCTCTCGCCCGAGCTCTGGCTACATCCCCGTCTCGCCTTCGCGCTGGCCACATGCCTCATCATTAGGCGTGGTGCTCTCGCCTCAGCGCCGGCCACATCCCTAAGTGGTATTGCGCTGTCGCTCGAGCGCCAACCACAATCACATTCTGGAACGCTTATGGTATGCATCTTGGATGGGGTTGTCCGGGTAGTCCAGGGGGTTGTCTGGGGATTTTTCTGGATCATATTGTTTACATTGAACATAGTACGGTCGGACCGAGGTATAAGATCGAGGTCGGTTCGGGGAGGGTTCTCCTTCCCCCACTTTGATGGCATCATGGAGGACTTGTTGACAGGAAGGGAATGCAGAGGGAATGATGTTTGTGGTTTAAAGAGGAGGAGCGTGAAGAAGAGAAGAGAGAAGAGAGCGGAGCTCGGATCAGGCACATGAAACGGAGGACATTGTGCATGAAAAACAGGAGCGGAAGGGTGAATAGGAAGGAGGGGCAGAGAGAGAGAGAGAGAGACTCTGAGAGAGAGACTTAGGAGGAACCATAAGTCGGAGTAGGACGAGGGACTAAGAGAAGGAGGCGGGATGGCTGCTTTTCCGCGCAGCCTCGCTAAGGCAGGCTGTCAGGAGTCAGGACGTGGGGTGTGCGAGGGAAGCAAGCTCCCCGCAGGTCGGAAGAGCACAGTTCCAGACCGCGAAACGCCGCTTCACCATCCTGGACGCGCCAGGGCACAAGTCCTACGTGCCCAACATGATTGCGGGAGCATCGCAGGCTGAACCTGGTGCAGATCCGACCCAGACATCTGGGCGTCGTGAAACAACCACGGCGGACCTCTTCGCTCCGTTTCTGGCCCTGGGTCCACGTGGACCGATCCGGGGCGCGAGTCTCCTACACATGCGGTTGGGTCCAGAGCTCCAGGCGTTGTTTTCCAGGACGTCGTGCGTTCTTCACGACGGCGGATGCCTGGGATGCGGGGGGGGGTCACTGATGCAGCATCGAGGCCCGCAAGGTGGATTCAGCAGGCGGGGGTGAGCGCGACCGCGCCTGCATGGAGGCGGAGGTGATGGAACATAGCACAAGGCAAGGCAAGAGGAATCATCAATGTGTTTTTTTCGTTTTTCAGGGTTGCCACGTGATGATCCATAGCATCTGCCGAGAAGGTTGCAATGCTTTGCGCTGCGTATTACTTCAGACTTGTATTCGGCACAAGCTCCAGAGCAATGGATCCGCTATGGACGCTAAGAGCGACATAACAATCGACTTAGAGGAACTCGTCTTTTGATCGTGAGACAAGCACGATTTGCCTGTTGGCTGGTCGGCATGATTGCGCTTCCATCTGATCAAACTCTTCTCCCCGAGATGGACATCTGAGGATGGGACTGTGCGTCAGGGGCTCGCTGGCGAGGACAGGCAGGGCTCCCCCCTTGTAATATACACCACGTAGTTTTCACATCCTCGGCCCACTCGTTCGTAAGTCGGACCGTGGACCGTATTTCCTGAGAGTTGTCCCCGAAGACGCTGTGGTAACCTAATCCCGTGCCTGCAGTGCTCGTCGGCTCTTCATACGCTGGCCTGTGATACGTCTTCCGATTGCGCGGCATTGGTTCGTTCGTCGGTGCCCCTTGCGGTCTTTGTTGATGAGCAGGCTGACATCGGCGTTCTGATCATCTCCGCGCGGAAAGGCGAGTTCGAGACCGGCTTCGAGAAGGGAGGGCAGACGAAGGATTTTTTGGGGCCGCTGAGGAGGAATATCTCTTCTAGGCGATCTCTTGGCCCCTCGGGCTTCCTAGGCGCTCTCTTGGAGCGCGGCGATCTCTTGGAGTGCCATGCTTCTCTTTCTCCTTTCGAATAGGGGAAAAATCGTAAACATAAACTGTCGACCGCCTGCGCGGATTTCCTGGATCGGCGCTTGGGCCCCTCCCTGGCGGCGCCTCCGGCGCTGTCCCTGGCGCTTTCCGCGCGACAGGGACGGCAGACCGGCAAAATTTTATGTTTATACCGTTTTTGATTCCTCTATTCATGGGTGGTTTGGTTTGGTCCGGTGCCAGTGTGCACGCTCGCAGGCTGCGAGCAGGGGTAGGCCTGGAATTACGATGTGTACGGTCACAACGAAGGTGATGACTGTAATGAGGTAGTGATGAAGAAAGCGTCGGCGACGCTAACGACGGCGATGATTAGGATGCTGATTGCAACGATGATGACGAATGAAGCTATTGAGACGAAATTGGGGACAGCGCCAGTGGTGAACAGCCAGGGGATGTTGATGGCGAGCGCACATGCTGCAGGCATGACGACGGCGTCACCAGAGGGGAGCCCCTTCCTTTAGGAGGCCCTCACGGTCTCTTAAAACGCCGCACCCCTCGCGCCCTCCGACGATGCGCGCCGCCAGCAGTAGCACACTTGAAGGCCTCGGGTCTTATCCTGCCCAGACGACTCGCGACAGTGGCGAAACACCCCGCGGCTTCTGACGGCGTCGGCAGTCAAGGCCCGTGGGCACCAATTTTCACCGTGGCGCTGGCCGCTGGTGGCGTTTGCCGGATATCAGTGGTACCGCAGGGAACGCAAGAAGACCAGGCATTCCGATGGCCACTCATTTTTCCAGACCGCAGCTTGCTTCGCTGATGGAACCTTCAAGAAACTCTTCACGCTTCTTCTCCCGCATGTTGCATATGCTACCCTGGCCCTCAGCAGGCAGCTCAGCCAGCTTCCCTTCAGCTGCAGCCCCACCGGAGGCTGCTTCTGAGTGCTGGCCCGGCCGCTTCGCTCTAGGCTCGCGCGTAGCCAATTTGGCAGGCCCGTGGCCCGCACCTCTCCTTCGGCGACAGCGTTTCCGCGTCCGCCCGCGACCAAAAAAAGTATCCCAACCCGCCTGTTCAGAAGCCCTGTCCATTAGAGCTGACGGGTCAAGGGACGAAGAGACGTACAGTGACACAAAGCGGGCAACCATGATGAACAGAGAGATCTCTTCGAGCAAGGGGGTGGCCTTGGAGGGCCCCTTCGGGCCATCCCTGGGGCCCGCGGGGGGGCGAGGGGATGATGATGATGATGATGATGATGATGATGATGATGATGATGATGATGATGATGGTGGTGGTGGTGGTGGTGGTGGTGGTGGTGGTGGTGATGATGATGATGATGATGATGATGATGGTGGTGGTGGTGGTGGTGGTGGTGGTGATGATGATGAGGAGGAGGAGGAAGAGGAGACAAATCGTCTCTTGGACCCTCATGTGACGCTCTTGGGGCGCTCTTGGCCGCTCTTGGGGCAGACTTGGGGCCCTCTTGGGTCCCTCTTGGGACTCTCTTGGGGCCCACTGAGGTGCCTTGTAAGGCCTTTCGGGGCCATCTTGCAGGGCGTCGATCAAAGAAGGGGGGGGTTCTAGATTTCCCCCCCGCTGGGACCATCAAAATCGCCTCTTGGCGCCCTTTGGGGTCGCTCTTGGGCCGCTCTTGGGCGCTCTTGAGGCCGTTTTGGGGGCCTCTTGGGCCCGTCTTGGGGGTCTCTTGGGCCATCTTGGGGCAATCTTGAGGCTTCGAAGCGCATCGGAAGCGAAAAGGCGAGGAGGCAACAGCATTGATTTCCTTGTTCTTCGAAGAATTTTGGCTTCTTGGGGGGTCCTGAGGGGGCTGCGAGAGCATATGGAATCGTCTTGTGGCCCTTGTCGGGCCTATTAGAGGTATGCCGGAAGCTATCTTGAACCGTCTTCTGCTATCTTGAGCCGCCTTGGAGGCCATCTTGGAGCATTGGAGGCCCTCTTGGAGCCATCTTGGACCCTGTGTCACCTCGCGCCCCCCCTTAAAAGAACTGTCAGGGAAAGGCTGGTGGGATTCATTTTGGGTGCCGGAGGAGGGGCCGCCCCCGCCAGCAGTGGGCGAGCCAAGTGAGCAAATTAGCTCAGCATGTGTCGCTGCAGTGACCCTTCTTTTCCGTCTTCCTCCTCCCTCCCCTCCTCCGCCTCCTCCTGCTTTTTGCTTCGCAGTCGCGGGGTGTTTCGTTTTCTGCCTCACAGTCGTGACGACCGCCTTGTTTTCGGTGTCGCAGTCGTGATGCGTCCCACCCCTGCTTCACAACCGGGCTTCACAACCGCAACCGTGTCTCCGTGCGCACGCCATCATAGAGTGACGCTTCTTTTCGCACTCTCCCGAGGAGCTGCCAACTGCGCACTCTTCTGCCCGCGCGTCTCCGGGGATGCTCGGGCTAGGGGTGGAGGTGGCCCTGGGGAGCTGCTTCCGCCGTGGCTCGGCCCGATGTTCGTTCTGGCACTGCGTGCATCGATAATATTCGCTTTGCATGGATCTGTTTACTGCCCTTGCCTTCCATGGTCGTTCCTTGCCTTCCTTCCTTCTTTCCTTCCTGCCTTTCTTTCTAACCCCCCCCTCCTCCCTCCCCCCCTCCCCCCCTCCCCCCCTCCTCCCCCCCTCCGCCACCCTCCCCACCCTCCCCCAACACCCCCTCGGCCCCGTTCAAGCCTCCTCCTTCCCCATCCCCCCTTCTCCCCCAAACAAAATCCAGCCGCGCCGTGACCCTTGTCCTCCAGCATTGCATTCCAGCTTTCAAGGACGTCCTCACTGTGCGCCTCTCCAGCGCTCGTGCCCATGGACCACGTGTTTCCAGCGTGGCCTCCTATCTCTCCGCGCGACCCTCGCCTTCGGCCGATTCTGCTTAGTGCCACAATTCGCTTCGGATGCGCCCCTCCGCCGCTCGAACACTGCTTGAGTCAAGTGGCCGCGGACCAAAAATCGTGCATCGAGAAAAGTCGGAAGTGCCATATGAGGTTGCCAGGGTGTCGTGGGATCGTTTACCATTTGGGCCTGCTGCTGAAAGTTGGCGCGTGACGCGTCAGGCCGTGAAAACAGAAGCTTAGCTTTCGGGTGTAGCCCGAATTCATTTCTCACGAGGGGAGCTGACTGATTGGAATGACTGCGCTGCACTGGTCGTGCCCGTTTTCGTTTTCGGTCGTCGAACGCGCAGCCTATGGCGCAACCCACCGATTTTATCCACGGCGGCCGAACGCTCAACTGTTAGCGCAACCACTAGCAGGCGGTTTTGTTCGTGGTGGTTGCTTCTCGGCCGCCGAACGCGCAACCCTTGGCGCAACCAAAGGGAGGCCGTTGTATTTTCAATGGCCGAGCGCATAACCTATAATCTATTGCGCAACAGGTAGCAGGCTGTTTTTGCATCCTACGGAGCAGCCGCTAGCAGACCGTTTTCGTATCGGCGGTTTACTTTGGCCGCCGAGCGCGCAAATCATGGCTCAGGTGTTAGGTGGCCGTTTCATTATCGGCGGTCGAGCGCGCAGCATATGTCACCGCCCACCAAACCACCCCAACCCAACCCGAAGGCTCCGATTTGCCCTCCATTTCCAGTGGGGGGGGGGTCGGGGAACATTGAAAAAACACATGGAACCCGTACCCCCCCCAACCCGAAATTCGGGTCAAGTTCGGGTCTTCGGGTTGGGTTGGGGTGGTCTGGAAGGTAGTCAATATGGGTCGGCCTCCTCCTCTTTTTCCGTCCTCCTCCTCCTTCTCCTCCCTCCTCCTCCCCCTGTGGGTGCGGGGTGGTGCTGCGGTGCCGTCGTCGGTCGTCGGTCGGTCGGTCGGTGCAACTCATGGCGCGACAACACATGTGTAGCGCAACCCATGGATCGTGCAATCCATGGCGCGCCACATGGGTAGCACATATGCTTGGCAGTTTCTGCGGGGCTACGCCCGGCGTTTGCTCGCCATTTGGTTTGGTGGTGAGGCCAAGGCGGCGAATTGTCTAGGGATTTTCTGTTCTCCATCTCTACATACATATTTCGACAACTATGTACATACATATATATATATATACATTTATATAAGTGCATGTATGTGTATAGATGTATGTATATATAATTTCCAGATTCTTTCTCTTTCGCCTGGCATGGAGCGGGGCAGCGGGGCACCGCGAAACGCTGGGTCCCCACAGCTACTCGCTAACTCACTACAGCCTTTACATGCCAATCTGATCAATGTTTGCCACCGTGCCCCCCCGAACAGTCATGTCGTATGGCGCTGTGGATGAGCAGGCCATGCTCATGCGTGCGCGTCTCTGCGGTCGTTTCTCGAAGCGCAGATCTGCCTCTCAGCAGCATGGATTCAGGAGGGGGAAGGGGGAGGAGGGGGAGGAGGGGGAGGAGGGGGAGAAG